GCTTCTGAATCAGCTACTGTTTTGTTATTAGTTTAAGTATTTGCTATTGACTGCTCAAATGCGGAGTTTTGCACATCGTGTGTGTGTGTGTGTGTGTGTGTGTGTGTGTGTGTGTGTGAGAGATAGAGAGAGACAGCGTCACATCACAGTGGAGTCAGCTGTCTTAACCGCGGCTTGTGTACTGCACACATACCAGCTTCATCACTGTGTCTGTCACGCGACTCTGTTCCCCTTTCGGGCTCTGTCTTTACATTCATTTTGAAAGATGAAGCTGGCGATTATGGTAAGGGGCGTTACATTTCCGACAAGTGCTTGCGGTGTTCGGCCAATCACAATGCACTGGGTCAGCTGGCCAATCAGAGCAGACTGTGCTTGTCGGAAGGCGGGACTTTGTAGAAAACGAAGCGTTTGAGAGAGGCGGGGCATAGAGGACCTACAATAATGTACAGTATTTGTAAAATAATGTGTTTTTTGAACATTAAAGCTTGTCAACATATTCTGTTACACCAAATACACAAAATAATGATCTTTTAAAAAAGCATCATATGACCCCTTTAAGGTGCTATATAGCACCACTACCGTATAAAGAACCTGTTAAGCCCCTGTATGGTTCTTCAGCGGTTCTTTGGAGTTGATGAGGTGCTATATAGCACCACTACCGTAAAACCTGTAAGCCCCTGTATAGTTCTTTAAAGGTTCTTTAACCAGTTAGACTTTATTTCTGGAGTATCTAAAACCGTTCTTTATTGAGAAAAAAGTTTTTATTTTTTTTAACTTACCGTTTTGGTGAATAGCGTTTGCTTTAGTTGCCTCTTGATGCTTGACTACAATGTTAAGTTAGAAATAAGTTTCTCTTTGGCTGTTGAAATAGTGTTTATAAAGCACATATGTGCTGGCAAGAAACTTATTGTAAAATCTTTTCATATGTCTCTGGTTGCATATTATCAAAATCTGTAGTTTTTTTTCTGAATTTTGTATTATTGCAGCTCTACGATACAATGTGAAAATGTGAGAAAATTATATAAGCCACTTTTAGAATTATGGATTATAAAGAGGTTTCAGGGCTGTGAATCAGCATGCGAATCTCAGCAATGGTGACAAAATTCTGATAATTTTGATATGATTTTTGAACATCACAAAACAGGGCAGTAAAAAATCACAACAAAAATAAAAGAAAATAGTAAGAATAAAAGAAAATACTAAGACAATGCAGCTGCATAATTTATTCATGCAGCAATGCATGCTGGGAGCCATGAGTTATGATCGATGCACCATGCTAAATAGCACTAAAAGTGGTTCCCCTATGATTACGAGCCTTAGAGTGTACTATGAAATATGTAAATATTTCAATAGTATTTTTATCTAGCCCCCGATAGTTAAAATAACTACGTACAACTTGAATAAACCTCAGACAATAATCAGCGGTTAATCAACTTAATTTAAGCTGAGACAATAACCAGCGGTTATGACCAGTACTATGACTAGCCCCCCATAGTTAACGCAACTGAGTACAACTTCACTCAAGTCAAGCAGTTAGTCAGAAATCTATAATCTTCACCTAATGTGCGCCATGCTCCATCTAACCTGAGATCTAGTATGCACTTAACCCTGGATGCAGATTTGCAGTAAAATATGCCTTCAATTAATCTACTTGAGAAAATAATTTGAGAGTGAGTCAGAATAAATCAAAATTAACAATTTATTATCAGTCAGGTAAATATGTATTATGCCAATTACATAGCCAATTCAGAGATATCAAATCAGATCAATATAAACATCAAATTCTTAAAGATAAATCTAAGAGTAAGATGCATACCTGACTTTTAGAAAGATACATAGTGTGGAGTGTAGAGACTGACACACCACGGGCTTCTGGCTACAGAATCGCGCTGATCTTCTTGCAAGATTTCCTTAAGTACTCAGCCCAAGACAAACAAATGGAGACAGGAGCTAACAATTGTAATTTGTATTGATCAAGGCCTAGATATGTTAACACCATTTGGGGACAGAAGGTAATTTGCATGAAAGCCACTGGGAAATGACACACCCTCTACAGTGAGCGAAATATCTCTGAGCACTTAGGAGCTGTATCGCCTTTTAGTTTACTTCTTGTAAGAATGAGACCATTGT